GGAAAGAGAAATCATGTGGAAAGTCAGAAGTTGTGTGTCCAGGCAGAGGGAAACATAAGGGAAAAGACCCTGAGGATGAAAATACCTTGAAGCACTTAGGAAATTAAGAAAGGCCAAAGCGGCAAAAGCAAAGTGATCCTGGATGTGTGGCCAATGGCAAGGCTGAAGAAATAGTCAAGAGACCACATCACAGGGTCCTGTTAGGCCACACTGAGTGTGGTTTATACTGTAGGAACAATGGGAAACTATTTAAAGTATTAAGCAAGGGAGTGAGTGGATGCATAATTGATTTCGAATTTTAAAAGTTCATTTTAGCTTCTGTGTAGAAATGCGATGAGTGGAGAAGGGGCGAAAGGAGACCAGGTAGCAGATTATTAAATAGCTCAGGTGAGATTATGGCATTTTGGGAAAGGGTAGTAGCTGTGTAGAAGAGGAGAAAAAGAAGATGGGCTTGAGATATATTTTAAAGGTCAAATTGATAGACCTTGTGATTGATGGATTTCATATTGAGGATAGAGGAGGGAATCCAGGATTACGTTCCAAATTTCTGTCCTGAACAACTGGGCAGATAGACTGCCATTTTCCATAAAGGAAGAGACTGGATAGAGGAATAGTTTAGATGAGGGGTGGAAGAACCAGACTCAGTTTTAGACACGTGTACAACACCCGCCAGGCATCCAAGAGGAGACATCAGGTGGGCAGTAGAAAATATGCACCTGGAGCTTAGAACAAAGGTCCAGGCTAGAGACGAGAAATGGGGACTCGTGACATTCATTTATTTATTTTTCAGGTCAAACAATCGAGGGTATATTTTAATCACTCATGAAATAGTCAACTGGCAAATTAATACTGATGCATATTTAATACTTACATATAAAAAAAACAAACCTTATTTTCAAATGATACATTTTTTACCCACTCAGTAAAAGAGCTTTATGCAAAAATTTATGTCTGGGTTTTCTTCCTGTTCCATTGGTCTATGTCTGCTTTTATGATAATACCATGCACTTTTGGTTACTATAGCTTTGTAGTAAATCTTCAAGTCAGGTAGTGTGATGCTTCTAGTTTTGTTCTTTTTGCTCAGGATTACTTTGGCTATTCAGAGTCTTTTGTGGTTCCATATAAATTTTAGGATTTTTTTTTAATTTCTTTGAAGAATGTCATTGGTATTTTAATACAGATTGCATTGAATCTATAAATTGCTTTCAGTAATATTGTCATTTTAACAAAATTAATTCTTCCAATCCATGAGCATAGAATATCTTTCCATTTTTTGTGTTCTCCTCAATTTCTTTCATCAGAGTTTTATAGTTTTTTTAATATAGATCTTTCACTTCTTTAGTTAGATTGATTTCTAGGTATTTTATACTTTTCATAGCTATTATAAATGGGATTGCTTTCTTGACTTTTTTCCAGATTGTTCACTGTTGGCATATATAAATGCTACTGATTTTTGTATGTTGATTTTATATCCAGTAACTTTACTGAATTCATTTATCAGCTCTAACAGTGTTTTGGATGAGTCTTCAGGTTTTTCTAGATATAAGACCATACCATCTACAAACAAAGCTAATTTGACTTTTTCCTTTCCAATTTGGATGCCCTTTATTTTTTTTTCTTGCCTAATTGCTCTGGCTAGGACTTACAGTATTATGTTGAATAAAAGTAGTGAGCGTGGGCATCCTTGTTTTGTTTCAGTCCTTAAAGGAAAGGCCTTCAGTTTTTCCCATTCAACACAATGTTGGCTGTGGGTTTGTCATATGTGGCCTTTATTATTTTGAGGTATGTTGCTTCTATACCCATTTTGATGAGTTTTTTTTTATCATAAAGAGATGTTGAATTTTATCAAATGCTTTTTCAGCATTTATTGAAATAATCATATAGTTTTGTTCTTGATTCTGTTAATGATTCATAATATTTAGATGTTTTTAAAGATATAGGAAATGAGTTGGATATCCTAATGAGGAAGGTTAGAAGGAGAAGGAAAGAGGGCCCAGAATATAGCTCTGGGCCTTTCCAACACTAACGGTGGAGGGAAAGGAGCCAGCAAAGGAGACTCAGAGAGTCCAGATCAAAAGGGAGGGAAAAAAAAAACTCTCAAAAAAGCTTTTTTTGGTATTATGAGAAGAGAAGGAAAATTCTCACTCTTGATAACTGTAAAGTTGGGGGAGTCAATATTAGAATCCTCTCTGTCGGGGAGGACATCTTACACAAGGTTAGAGACCACTTCCACTTGTATTTTGTCTGCCTCTCTCATATGAGTCTTTAATGCAGTTCCTGGCACACAGTGGGCACTTAATACATATTCATTGAATATCTATCAATTGAATGAATCTTTAAGTCCAGTTGAGAGTGAGGAGTAGTTATAAGTCATTTTAAAAAGTCCTCCTCTTCTTCTCCTCTCTCCACTTCTTTTCCCCTGCCTGACTCTCACACTTGTCTACAAAAGTATTGATTAGAGAGAGAACAGTATTTTCGGGCTTTGTCAAAGCAACTTTAAACATGTTTTATTCCTGCTGACGTTAGGAAAAGTGAGCTGTTTGCTAAGCCCTGGAGGAAAGAAACTTGGGCTAACATAGCATATGAGGTAATACAGTGTGGCTGTTTCTGGAAAGGTAGTGAATCCTAACCATAACCATAACCATAAAGTCCTGTCCTGTGAACCACTCCACTGCCTGCTAGTCACCTTAACTATGTTATGAAAAGGATTGTATTGAGTGGCTTTCCTTGTAAAGGATTTTGGTGAAGGGAGGGGAAAAGAGAGGTAGGGGTTCAGATCAATGGCTCTGGTTTTGCCAGTATCGGGAGGATGTCAGAGTGGTTTCAATACACCTGCTTCCAGGCCACAACTGGAGATTTTATGACTGCAAATGAGAGGGATTGCTTATTTCAGAATAATGACAATATGAGCTAGTTGTGGGTCTGTAGAAAGAAACACACTTTGCACACTTTGGTGAATGCACCATGGGCTCTGATAAGTACCTTTCTGGAAGCCATTTTATTTCATTTTTATAATGGATTTATCACACACCATTATTAACCTTTTACTTTGCTGCAAAGAATAAGAGAAGGTTAATATTTCTCTTGTCTGTTGACAAGAGAGTAAAAATAATTAGGGTGGGTTTGGCTAGAATATCCTAACATTCCACAACCATCTCGAGCTCCACATGCCTTAACTCATCAAGGCACCCATTGCTTGCAAGCATACACCTGCATGACCTCACTTCTCAGTGTGTTTTTTCACCATGAATGTAGCACCATACACCCAGTTCCCAAACCCAAAACTTGGGCATCATCCTGACTCCTTCGTCTCAGCCCTACATTCATATTTGTCAGTACTATCCCCAAGTTCCATTGGATTCTATCTCTTAGATAGCTCTTGAGTCTACTTTTTGCTTTATCCTTCCTTCTGCTTCCTAGTTAGGCTGCCATGGTCTCTCTACTGATTACTGCGGGAGCCTCCAAAATTAGGTTTTCTGTATCCATTCTTGTCTTTGCACTTCTGAAACCCACAGCTGACCAAGACAAATCCTTCAACAGCTTCCTGTCAGCCCCAGCACACAGTTTACAATTCCTAACCTGGCTTATGTGGTTCACCATGCCGCTCTGCTTCCCTAGTTAGCCTCATATCACACCAACCTGTGTGTGGGCGGCCAAATACCAGAGCCAGGCTGACTCTTTCAGTTCCTCTACCTGGCCCTGCTAGAGCCCTCCCTCATTCCTCCTCTCAAACTTCTTAGCCTGACTCAAGCTATCTTGTCCCTAAAGGATCTGGAACTTTCTCTAGTTAGTAAACGTTTTTCTATCTACCATTTGAGTGAAAAATTTTCCCGACGCCTTGTATCAGTCCTGCCCTGTTCATGGTGTGTCCTGTGTGCCTAGCATAGTGCCTGTTCAACGAATGTGCTGAATAAATAAACAAGCATTTTAACTGTGTGTCTGCTATTTCAACTTAAGACGTAATATTTAAGTATGGTATTAGCACACAGACACACCCTTTGATGAAGTCTTTTCCTTTCTTCTTTCGTTTTTCCGTACAGCAGCAATCAATGATTGGACCCGCATCTCCTGCAAATACCTCATAATCATCCATGGCTGTCTCTCTGGTTGCTGAAGAGGAAACCCGAGGCACATCTGAATTGTATTAGGATGAGACTCACTACCTAGCTCAGGTGTGAGCCTTGTCAGAGGCTCATTACGACTCTGACCTCACACTGGGTCTACACAACTGATGACAGGTGTGTCCCATAGCTAGTAAGTGGCTGCTTGAAAAGGGGATCACTAAGAATCGTTCAGAGGAATCCACTGCAGTGAGTCAAGTCACATCGCTTCCTTAACCTGATCTCTGTTGGAGTCAGCAGAAGCCTACCCCGCGTGCCAGCTATTCGGCCCGAGGGGCTGCTGCTGCCGGCTCACGCATGCAGCCCGGGCTTAAGAGGAAGTGTGGGGAGGAAGGAAGTGGGTATAGAAGATTGCAGGGCTGTGAGTCTTGAAGAGAATAGAAATAACGTCTTTGTCACCAAAATGTTCCCCAGGCGCCTTCGGGGAGTTCTTTTTGTTTTGCTTTGTTTTTAATTTGTAGCTCTCTGGGTAATTTCTCTGGTGGCTGCTTACGCCCGCCCGAAAAATGAGATATTGTTGTTAATTATCAACTAAAGAACTAGACGGTTCCCGCAGTAGTCCGCGTCCCTGGGTCTGTGGCTGGCCGCGGAGGTTGGGGCCACAGGGCATCGCGTCCAGGCCCCCACCGCGGTTACAAGGGGAAGCCTCGTTCCGCCTCCAGGTCCAGTCCCGCTGCGCCCCTGGAGCCTCGGGCCATCCCGCGCTCTGCGGGCGGGGAGGCCGGGCCGGGCCGCGCGTCCTGCGCAGCTGAGGTCCCCCAGCGCCCCCTACAGCCGCACGCGGGGGGAGACGGAGCCCGGCCCTGCTCCTTCGCACCACGCCCGGGACCCCACCCAGCGGCCAGCGCCCCGGGACCGCACGAACACCCGCACCTCCCGGCCGCAGAATCGGGGCGTGGGGACCGGCGGGCGCGCGGCATCCCAGGCCGCCCGGATCGCTCCGCCCGCGGCTGGGGACTTCCCCTCCCCCCCTCCCTGCTTTCGTCTCGCCAGCCGGGGCCGGACACACTGCGCCTCATCTCTTGGGGCGCTCTTCCCCCTTGGCCAGCCGTCGCGTGCCGTGCAACTTTGGGGCAGTGGCCGTTTGGTGTTGAATGTTCCCCACGGAGAGCGCATGGCTGGAGAAGCGACGCGCGGCCCCCGCCCCAGAGGGGCCGCTGTCCGGAAGGCGGTGATGCTGTTGCTGTGCCTGGGGGTCCCGACCGGACGCACCTACAACGTGGACACCCGGAGCGCGCTGCTTTACCAGGGCCCCCCGAACACGCTGTTCGGCTACTCGGTCGTGCTGCACAGCCACGGGGAGCACCGATGGTGAGTGCAGTCGGACTCCGGCGCTGGGATCTCGGAGTGGCGTGAGAACGGCGCCCCAGGGATTCCCTGCCCGGTTCAAACTTTCCTCTCCCTGGAGAGTGCAGAAGGGAACCGCTGCGACAGCCAGCTCGCTGGAGATCTCCCCGGGAAACTAACGCATATGGGGGTGGCAGCTCCTGGTGTTCTCTGGGGCAAGGCCCTGACACTGTCAGAGGTGGCCGGCCGGGTGCGGGGGTGGCGAGGGGCGGAGGGGGTGGGGAAGGTGCCCCGCTGCCAACTGCACGTTGGTCGAGACGGGGAGTTCAGTGGGCAGCGCAGCTCACGTCTGAGCGCAAGTGCACGTTTGTCGCTTTAGGCTCGTAGTGGGGGCGCCCACTGCCAACTGGCTCGCCAACGCTTCAGTGGTCAATCCCGGGGCGATTTACAGATGCAGGATTGGAAAGAATCCAGGCCGGACGTGCGAACAGCTCCAGCTGGGTGAGTTGGGTCTGGGACCAAGAATTAGTTACCCCCTCACTCCCGCTTGCGGACCCCACCGTAGGACAAGACCTGGAAAAACTCGTGTCGCCTGTTACTTCTAGTTTAAAGCGTACGGAGTTTCAGTTTTAACTCCACACCATTTTCTCTTAATATAAAAGGGTCCCTTTCTATCAATATTTTTCTCCCGTTTGTTTATGGCAATGATTGCACTCTGACAAAACTGTGCAGAGGGAAGTTGCTTATGATACCTTCTCTTCACTTTTCCCTCTCTCCCACCACGTGTAAAACACATTTTAAAGTCTCTCAGCATGTTAACGACAGAATCCAGCTAAGCCAAGATTTAAGAATTTTATTTCCATCTTTGACCTATCACCCTTGTTAAAGAACAGGCTAAGGGGCATATCAGGAATAGCAGTTGGAATTGATCCCATATCCTGTCATTTAGGCTAAGGGATTTTTTAAAAAATGATATAGTTTTAATAAGACTATGCAATGTAAAAGAAAAGCACAAGGAAAATTGGCATTTTCATTGTTAATATAGTTAACATGAGGCTTAACGTATAACTTTTCATTCCCAAAACTCTGTTAAATGGGTCCATCTTTTTGCAGTCATTTTTTAAATGTTTGTTCTTAGACTTGTGATGACTTGAAAAATGTGTACTGATGGGGGAGGGGAGAAGTTTCATGTTTCAAAGCCAAAAGCAAATTTTTTGCACACAGACAAGTGGGGGAAGAAAGGGGAACTAACGTTAATCCAGACCTATCTTGTTCCAAATAGCGTTGGGCAGTGCTATACATACTGCTTATTTTTTTTCCCCTCAAAGCAACCGTGAGTCATGGTTGACATTGTTCCTACTTTACATGTAAGGACTCTGACTCAGAGTTGCAAGTACCTTTTCTAAAGTTACTTAGCTAGTGAGAGGTAGGCGACACCCGAAGTCAAAGTCAGGTCTGTTTGGATGCAAAGTCTAAGCCCTTTCCTTCCATGTATGCATCTTCAATGCAAATAAAATTAAATGAAGGGTCCAATGTGTTTTCTGCTGAACTGCCAGATCATCTGCAAATGGTGAACAAAAGGTCACAATTGGTACTTTATTTTTGCTATAAATGGACTTTTGAAATTAGCTAGTTATTGCATCTTTAACTCCTTTTTCTTTTTATAGTAGTCTTTGCTTTTTTTTTTAAACTGTGAAGCTGCTTCCCTTCATTTGTTTATCTTTGCTATAAATGGACTTTTGAAATTAGCTAGTATTGCATCTTTAACTCCTTTTCCTTTTCATAGCAGTCTTTGTTTTTTTTTTTTTTTTAACTGTGAAGCTGGTTCCCTTTATTTGCATGAATTCAAATAGAGTGTGAACATAATGGAATTTTTACTTTTAACTCAGAGATCACCTGTATAAGTCCAGGAATTGTCTGTAGCTTGTACAGCCTCTTGTTGAGCCCCAGCCTCTTGTTGAGCATCCTCCATCCTAGCAGGCAGATTGGAATGCAGAAAATATTCACAAACCTATACATTTGGAATAATTTTGAAAAGCGTAATTTTCATTGCATGAGACAGTTGTGGGGTAAAGATTTAGGGAGTGGAGCAGACAACCTTGGTCTGCCTGGGGATCTTGGCAAGATCTCAGGAGGGAACAGTTTCATTTCTGTTGTCATCGTTTCCTGATCCATGACATTATAACTACTGGTATTTAGCACCTACTTCCTCTCTGGACTGGGACTGAATCTATTTCTGGATGTCTGTATTTAACTAGATAGATCATGTCATAATATTACATAAAATTTAAGATGATAATGCCTGTCAGTTGAAGGAAAACCTAAATCCTCTGGGTGTGTGGAGCATAGGAGTCGACTAAAGAAATATTCTCAGAAAAATGTGCACATAGTAGACCTGTAACAAACATGAATTAAATGAAGATTTGTTGGATGGATGAAAGAATAAAAGTAAAGAGAAATAAAGTAAAGGGAAAGTTGAGTGCTCTTACTCTTATTGAGTAAGAGCATTAATTAGAAATGACAAGCCAAAGTGATAGTTTTACATTTCAAAATCTGGTCAATACACAAAGTACTGACTGAGATGAAAGACAAAAAGGAAGACAAGATTCCTAGTCAATTAACTGATTAAAACATCGATAGCTGTCATAATAGCTTTGACTACTTGCCAAAGAGTTGACTAAGTTATTTCTCATGTAACATTCTAAAAAAAAAAAAAAGTATATCTTTTTTTCCTTAAACGAAGAAACTGCTCTGTTCAGAACTAATTCAGAAGTAACTTAAAGCTGTAAAATAGGAATTGAGGCTAAAGTCTAGAAAGAAAACACTGGAAGACAATAAATTGGTAACAAAGATATTTTAGGATTCTCAGGTTTATGGGCTATGTACTATTTTGTATCAAGAAGTTTCAAGGGTGTGTGTAAATATATATAAGCCATCTTATTGAAACTATTGAGTGTATGTGTGTGAGAGAAAGAAACTGTATAAAATAGCTTCAACTGTCCCATCTCAAATGTGATGACTCTAATGTTTGAAAAATGCTAGCTCAGTACCTAACACATAATAGACCAAATAATAGTTTCTTATCTCTATTTTCAACCTAAATCTAATATCTATATGTTATCTGTACTAATCAGGTTGAGGTTAATAAATAAGGACAATTAATAAACTAAGCCAAAAGTTTAAAAGTTAAATGTATTAATTAAAAAGTAACAGTTGACGTGAAACACAACAAAAAATATTTTGTCTCATCAAAAAAATGTAATAACTAAAGATTGAGCTATGATTGCCATGTTTATAAGGTGTCTTTGGAATAACTTTATTTGCTATCAAGAATATGAAAGTGCAGGGTGTCGTAAAATGGTGCCCATCCCCTACACAATTAAAAATATCCATATGTAAGTCTGTAGAATTTCAGATCAACAGTTGGTTCAGATAGACTCCTTCCCTCAAAAGAGGAGGTCAGTACTTCCCCTCCCCACCCCTCCCTACCCCACTCTTGTGGATAATGTTGTCACATACCATGCCATACTCACTGTAGCCATAATCAGAAGAGAGCAGCAAATGCCCATTTATCTAGAATGCCCAGGATGAGAAATGTTTAGAGGTAAGATACCTCTTTTAGTGAAGTGAATGACTGCAGAGGCCATATCGAGAAAGTTGCCTGGAGAGTACCACAGATGCTTTTCTGCCTGCATACAATTAGTCACCTTCCACATCTCTGCCTGCTTGAGAGGTGTCTCTGCTCTCATTTCCTGGCTACCAGAGGAAGGTAGTCTCCTCATCAGGAGGGCCCAGACCCAGACCTGCTCATGAAGACTCTGTCTGAGGAGACCATGGTGATTTCCATATATCCACTTAATCTTCCCCTTAGGCACTCTGTGTCCTTGAGGCTTGTTTAAAGGAAACTTTGTTGACAGATGGTTCTTGAATCAAGATCTCACAAGTAGTGACTCTGTTAATAGAGCTAAGCATAGTCCTTCTAGGGGTTACCAATATTCAAAGACTTAGAACATAATAAAATATATAAATGATTATCAAGTTATACAAAAAAAAGATAGTCTTCATTTGGTTATTCAAAAGCCACTCCATATATTTCCATTACTTTGGAATTACCACTGATAGCATTAGACACATGTATGCACACAGGCTCATGCACACTGCCATTCATCTGGATAATAGTATAAACTTACATGTTTACACCATCCAATTCAGGAGCCACTCAGCATGTGTGACTGTTGAACATATGAAATGTGGCTAGTCTGCAATGAGAGGTATTGTAAGTTACATACTGGATTTCAAAGACTTAGTACCAAAAAAACTCATTAATTTTAAAGATATTGATTACATACTGAAATAAATATTTTAAAATATTGTAATGAAGTAATATTTTGGATTTAATAAAATGTTAGAATTAATTTTACTTATTTTTTACTCTTTTAATATGACTACTATAAAATTGAAAATTTCATATGGGCTTGTATTACATTTCTATTGGACAGAACTGCTATAGAGAAACCTAAATTCCCTGTGTAAAATAATACTAACTTCTTAGCAGGTGCTTTCCCAGTAGCCATGTATAAAATGAATAAGACTTTCACTTTTCTTCTCCAGACCAAGTGTTCTATACTTACTGGGCCTTCAAGCTCCCTCCCTGCGCCTCTCTTTTTCTTCCTGGAAAAACCAATGACCCATTTCAAGTTAGTCACCATTACCCTTCTTTGAATTTCTTTCTGAAAATTATATTGCCTTAACCAGCCTCCTGGTTCATGATTACATAACCTATTGAAAGAGGTTGAGTATTGTATCATTAAACTGATGATTATCTAGGCCTTGGGTTTTTTTTATTTTTTTTTTATTTTTTAGAGTTTTTCTTTTTTTCTTTTTAGAGATGTGATCTCACTATGTTTTCCAGGCTGGTCTTGAATTCCTGGTCTCAAGTCATCCTCCTGGCTCAGCCTCCCAAAGTGCTGGGATTATAGGCCTGAGCTGCCATGCCTGGGCTCTAACCAGCACTTTTACTTGACTCACAGGAGTTGTTAGTTTAACATTAAGGGGCAAACGTCTCACTTGCTGAAACTTCAAATATGTTTTTCTTGATAACTTCCTTTTTTCATTTGTAATATGTTTTAAGTTGTAGTGAGATTGATGCAGATTGTTCATTTTAAGAAATCATCCCAGAATATAGGCTGTTATGCTACTTTTGCAGAAAATCAAGACAGAGAGCCTCATTAATGAACTATCAGGTTAACAGAAAGAAGTTCCCCGATTTCCAGCAATTTCCCAAACCTCATCTTCAAATTAAGTGGATGAGGTTTCCACCTGATCTCTAATTTGAGCGATGAGGCTTTCTAAATGCATTTTATTTTTTGCCTCAAGTTTACTTGGTCACTGAGTGATATACCTAGTGATCAAAGATATCTTAGCAACAGTTCTCAGGCCAGATATGGTGATCCATTATATATGTGGATCATGTATTCAGTCATTTATTGAGGGATGCCTAA